GTAAATTATTTCATATAATTTTTTTCTAATTAATCTTTGTTGTAAAATTCATTGTTGTTAAATTCACCACGGTTATGTAGTGAATGCATCAATTTATCCAACCACCTGAACCAGTTTTAACTCTAAAGATAGTAAGTAGTAGTATTTCTTTATACTATCTCTCCAGTGGAGTTTTTTTGTTAAGATTTTTACGCTATATGCATTTAGAGAAACATTTTATAAAAAGCCAGTCAATATGTTGTCATTTTTTTAAGAAAGCATAAATTTATATTTAAATTAATAAAATAGTCAATTATTAAGTATGTTTTCCGAAAAAAGTTCTTATCAAAACATGAAGGTAAATATGCAATTGTTATTTAAAAAATAAAAAAGCATTAAATCATGGCTAATACAAAAATTTTACGCTTGAAAAATGAAAAAAATGTTCCAAAAACGATTTCTCCACTAAATATTTATATGCAAATAAACAACAGACAATAAATAAACATTATGACTATTGAATAGATTATAAAAAAAAACACAATAACAACATTTTACCGTTATTATCGATATTTGTTAACAATTTTTTATTGATGTAACAAAATTTCTTATAATTTTTTTATTTAGAGTGATAAAACGCCTTTGTGCTTTGTGCCCATCAATACTCTCAACGATGTACAGGCTATACGTTGTGCAGAGTTTCATCCGGAGGGTAAGATTTATGCAGTTGGCTCCAATTCCAAAACTCTTAGAATTTGCATGTATCCCTCACAAATCAATATCAGGTATTAATAGCCAATTATTGTTTATGCTTCAGTATATAATTTCCATTCTAAAAATTTCCAGCAAAACCCAAACATTTCAAACTAGTGTTATATTTAAACGCACAAAACATCACAAAGGTTCGATTTATTGCACTGCCTGGTCCAAAGATGGCAAATTTATTGCCACTGGCTCCAATGATAAATCGATTAAAATCATGCAATACAGTGATGAAAATAAACAGCTGGAAGGGCGTGAAATTGAGTTGACCATGCATGATGGCACCGTGAGAGATTTGTGCTTTTTAGAAGATTCTTCCAATGAAAGAAAACTATTGGCTAGTGGTGGAGCTGGTAATTGTAAGATCTATATTACGGATTGTGGAGTGTTGTCGCCAGCACAAACCTTTATAGGACATAGTGGACATATTTTTTCAATTTATAGTTGGGATAATAATATGTTTGTTACTGGATCACAGGTGGGTAAAAAATTTATGTTTATATTTGTAAATACTTCATTGGAAAGGGCAATTTTTAATTTTCGTTTAAGAAAATGTTGATTATTAGTCTACATTTCTGGTTATAGTCTAGTGCATAGTGGAGACTATATTCTAGTTTATAGTTTGTATTATAGTTTAGTCTCTGGACTGTAACCTTGTTTAAAGCTTGAATTATAGTCTAGTTTATAGATTGGACTATATTCTATAGACTAGTTTATAGTCTGTACTAAAGTCTAGTCTATAGTTTCTTCCAAAACTAGTCTATAGTCTAGTCTATATAAATGTCTATAGTCCAATATATGGTCTAGTCTGTAATCTAATTTATAGTCTACTCTATAGTCACTCTATAGTCTAATCTGTAGTATTGTCTATAGTCTAGCCCATTGACGAGTCTATAGTCTATAGTGTAGTAACAGTTAATGTTTATAATCTTATATATAGGATTTTTGATTTCTTCCACATTTATACCTTATGAACAATAACAGTTATGAAATTATACTATAAAAAGGCATTTCTTAAAAACACACATTTTACAGGAAGGAAATTTCTATAAAATATAATCGTCATTATACTTACTCATTAGATGCCTAACATAGGCCATTTTTATTTTGTATTTGGTTTAAAAATAAAACATAGTTCGTGCTAAACTCTAGCAATTTTTGTCATTTACCTACCTGCTACTTTAAAACATCTGCAATCTTACTAATTAATATGGCCTAACAATTGCTGGAAAATGTGTAACAGCATTCGTAGTAAAAATACATACATATGTGTCATATTTGCGTGTTTCTGAATCGAACTCAACCGACATGACCGTCATAACTCAAAATATACCAATTTCCTTAAAATAATATTATTATAATATTTTTAAAATTTTTGCATTAGGGTCTTATTTTCATCTTAATTTCACCCTTCACTTTATATTTTTATTTAATTGCAACAAATGTGATAACGATTTTTTTCTTATCTCTAATTACACCGAAACTGTAAAATTATTTTTCCTCCAGGGTTAATGAAAATTTTCCCATAACTATATAAACATAACAAACCAGCATATTACAATTTCTTCAAAGAATTTACAAAAATTATAATTTTGAGTTATAACTTTCTTGTACAAAATGAGAAGGATATACATATGTACATACATACATACATATATAGAAACGTTTGTATATTTAAAGGATACATACAAATGTACATACATCCATACATATTTACCTAAGTTACCCACTTTTTTTCTTAGAAAGTTCAATGTACAATTTGTATGATTCATAATCCTTCATCTCATTGAAATATGTACTTCCTTTTTTTGGCTGTTGCTCTACTGTTTTGAGTAGCCGCCCTTAAAGTTTTGATTAGTCAACAAATTTTGTAAACGTAACGTAATCAGCTAGAGTATAGTTAAGTTAATTTCTTATCCTTTCGTAGTCTTTTAAAAATATCGTAGAATTTTACGATATACACAATTTGTCATCTTGACAAGGATTTATAAAAAGTATAAAAAGGAAACAATTTTCTGAATTTTCCCCAGGCAAGATAAAGCGAGAATAGTTTAATGGTTATTAACAACACATAAGTTTTAAAGAAAAATTAATTTATTAAAAAGTTAAGAAACAAATAATTTTTCTTAAAAAAATTCTTGATGAAAAATTAAATTTTCAATAAAATATGTTAAAAATATTGTATTATAAAATCTGTGTTTTGATGAAAAATAAATATTTTTAATCTTGACAATAGTATAGCCTATAATCTATAGACTATAATTTAGTCTATTCAATAGTTTTGTTTATAGACTAACCTATAGTCTTGACTGTGTTATAATCTATAGTTTAGTCTATAGTCATAAGCGTAGTCTAGCCTGAATTCTTAAAGTTTATAGTCGAGTCTAAAGTCTTGACTATAGTCTAGGGTGCGGTTAATATCTTAGTCTTAACTATAGTATATAGCCTAGTCTAGTTTACAGTGTGGTATATACTTTAGTCTAAATTTTTTAGTGTAGTTTAGTATACAATCATGACTATAGTATACAGTTTTATCTATGGCCTAGTCTATAATTTAGTCTACAGTTTAGACAACAGTATAATTTATAGCCTTGACTATATACAAAAAATGTAAACTAAAACTAACACGGATCCAAAGTAATCGATTGAATATAACACCCCCTTAAATAAATTCAATAAATCATTAAATTAATTAAAATTATATAAAATGTGTAATTTTTTAAAATAATTTTTAAAAAAAACTCAATAATTTTTATTAAATATTGTACAATGTACATTCATATACAAATAAAACTTATCTAGGATAAAACTGTACGTTTTTGGGATCTACGAGTAAATGAATGCATCAACACTGTCTTGCCATCTTGCTACTATGACTCAATGGGTTCACCGGTAACTTCAGTATGTGTAGATCCTACTGGACGTTTATTGGTGTCGGGACACGAGGACAGTTCATGTGTTTTACACGATATACGAAGGAATCGACAAATACAATGTTTCCAACCACATTCTGCTGATATAAGGTATGTTCTATAATACTATAAATGAAAACAAAAATGTTTGTAAATTTGTTTTAACTTGTTTTCAGATCTATACGCTTTTCACCCTCGGCCTATTATTTATTGACCTGTGGTTATGATAATAAAATTGTTTTAACCGATCTACAAGGTAATTTAACACAATCCTTACCTTCGGTAGCTGTTGGCGAACATGGTGACAAGGTTATATCGGCCAGATGGCATCCACAAGATTTTTCTATATTAACTACATCGGCTGATAAAACCGCTAAGCTATGGGCTATACCAAATATCTGATACGTTAGGATAAAACTTGTTTTATACCAAAAAAGCGATGATGATTTAAAAGAAAATCAAATACTTTTTCAACTGGACTTATTTTAATAATAAAAAAGATTCCACTATTGAAATTTAAATTATCAAAACAATTTTTTAGAGGTTTTTGAACGAATATGTATTAAACAAACATTACTTAAAGTCATGTTGTTATTTAACGGAAAACATTAATAGTTTTAGATACAAATTTGTCTATAGAAATTTAATAAAAGTAAATAAATAAAATCTTTTATATAACATATAAAATGAATGTGAGACAAGTGTGTGTGTATTAACTAGCATTGGGGAACTTAAAATATACTTTCTAATTTTGTTTATTAGATTTTAAAATTTATATTAAATAGTCTAGTCTATAGTAGAGTCTTTAGTCAGGTTTGTAACCTAGTCTATAATCTAATCTATAGTATTGACCATAATCTAGTCTATAGTCTGGTTTATAGCTTAGTCTATATATAGTCCAGTCTAAGTATTGTCTATTAAATTATCTGTAATCTAGTCTATCGAAAAGTTGGACGATAGACAGAATTAATAATTTAACATGAATTTTTCTCTTTTTATGAAAAATTTACTTGTGGCAACTAGAAAGGTCCTTATTTTAATAAAAATCTTAACGGATGCCTTAATTAATTAATTAAACAAAATTTTCTGAATGAATAGTAGAAAAAAGGTCTGTTAATAGAACTCTTAACAGAAGTCTAACCCTCGTATTCATAAAGATATTAATCATTTATTTCCCCCACAAAATTTCTACTCTAAACCATCAACAACTTTATTAAACCTTTATGAATATGGAGGTTAAAAAAAATTTGGATGTGAGAAAATCTTAAAAATATTAATATTTAAATTTAATTACCTTGAAAATGAATATCAATTTAAAGGAAGTAATTAAAGAAAAGAAAACGTTGATTGATTAGTTGTATTATTTGCACATTATTTTTATTAAGTGATTTTTTGTAGAATAAACCTATAACAATTCATACTGACGAAGGTGCATTCTTTGAATTATATCTCGACAATCATTGAATACTCTCTTGATATTCTCAGTATCTACAGCACATGTGAAATGTGGATAGCAATAGTGTTTGCCATCACCACTTGCAGTAGAAATACGCTGGAAATGAAAGAAAAACATAAAAATCATATATTTCACAATAGATAAACTAAATAAGAAAATAAATAACTGCCGAAATAAACATACCAAAAACTCATCACGTATGAAATACTTAGCTCTTATGACTTCAGGATCATCTCCAGACTCGATTATTGCATCACCTGGAACAGTAATTAAATGCAAAAACACATTAATTAGAATTTGAAATAATGAAACTAAAGAGGGTAAAACTTACTTGGTGTTTGATATTTATTAAATTCGGCAAAATAATCCGAAAGTTTGCTTTTACCAGCTTTTATTTTCTCAGCTAACAAATCTTGTTTGTTGAGAAATAGAATTACAGATATTGTACGTAACCATCTGGAAAAAATCGCCAAAAGGAATATGTATGTAAGTATTTAATAACATAATACTAAACTAAAATAGGTTTGTAGAATGTTACCTATTGTTCCAAATGCTTTTAAATAGTTCCAAGGATTCACGCAAACGATTTTGTGTTGGATCTTCTCGTAAAACCATGTTATAGCTAGAACATGCTGTCACAAATATAATTGCAGTAACGTCATTAAAGCATTGTATCCACTTTCGACGTTCATCCCGTTGGCCTCCCACATCAAACATACTGCAAAATAAATTAAAATATTATTAGTATTTTATTTATTTGTTGGCTTTTTAGAAAACTTACTGAAAATTGACTTTGTCAACTTGAAATCTTGTTTCAAAAATACCAGAAGTTAAAACCCGACACCGCAATATGTCTTGCTCGTTCGGTGTATAGTTGGGTTGTTTAATTATGCTCACACGGTCCAAGAAGCTTTAAAGTAAAGTAAATTCATAAGTCAAAACATTGTTGCCGTTAAAATTAACTTGAGTTCGTAAAATACTTACTACTTTGCACAATCGATTAATTGATATTCATTTGATCTTTCATAAGTTGCCAAAACACCCTTATCTTTCCACAACTCCTCTGTATGCTCATAAAATTCTGGCGGATAGTTGAAATCTGGACCTGTAATAATCGTATAGATATAAATTGCATTAATAGTCTTGTTTTAATTTGAATATTTAATTTCACTTACTTGAAGCATAGTCCTGTATATATTCAACTCTGGCTTCGTTTTCTTTCTTTTCCAATGGTATAGGTGGATTTAATGTGCTCATGGCACCAGTAATAGTCTGCAAAAGAAATAAAATAATAACATTTTACAATAATTTAACAACTGACTTATGTATTTGAAATAATCGATATATGCATTTGGTCCATTATGAATTAGACTAAAAATTAAGCTATGGGCCAAGGAGTATCAACGAAAGATTATACAACTAAGCTTAAACTATAGAAAAGTAATTAATTACTTAGGTTCTAAAGACATCTATTAAAATCTTCAACTTACCAAAATTGCATCACGAATGTTCTTCTTAATGTCATCAATTTTTTGTTTTTTCTCTTGCTCTGAAAAGCCATCAACGTGTAAAATACGCATTTGCTTGACTATGGTTGATTTGCCGGATTCACCAGCTCCTAGCAACAACAACCGATGGGTAGCCCGATAGAGCTGTTTATCCTTTTGTAATTGTTTGGAAATGGCATCACTACGACGCTTCTGACTTCTTGTATCTTCAGAATTTATATCAGATTGCTTAGAGCTTGGTGAGCCAAAGCAACCCATTGCAGACCAGGGTATCCACCAACACGCTTCGCGTCCTTCTTGGGTACCGTCGGGAGACTCAGCGCCCCCGTTTTCTTCGTTTTGAGCCAGTCTAAATAAGCTCTAACTTGTTAAAGTTCCTTAAATTGTCTCTACGAAAGCCAGAGTTGCTATATAATGTCGTTTATATTTTATCCAGTTTTTTTTAGTGTATGTGTTAAAAGTTTGTTTTTTTTAGTTTTTACTTAAAAATATTCTAGCTCTCTTTCACTTTATCTCTCTCTCTCGTTTTGTTGTTTATTTTTGTAGTTTAGTATTTTTGCTATATGTAATGGAAAGTAGTTTCTTTTCTTTTAAATCTGCCCCCTTTTTATTTTAGATTAATTTGGTATTGTTCTTGTTGTTAGTTTTACTTGTTATTTTTTTGTGCAATAATATTTGTGCTATGGCAATTCTGAAAATAAAGAAAGAAATTCAAATTATTATTATATGTATTTTGATTTAAATGTTAGCGGATTTTTTCTTTGGTTAGCGGTAATACATAAACAGTTTGGTATATTCTGTGACATTTGATAAGCCCTAATCAGTAAACCGTTTACAATTTTTGGGACTGGTCTTACAGATTTTTATAAACGTTTGATTCTATTTTTAAGTTGTTAGTAGACACTTGTAACAATTTTGGATTCCAAAGGTTCTTATATATTCCGATAATATCTCATATATGTATATTATATGATATTTGCTCATTTCAGTAATGCTGGATCAGACCTTTTCTAATTAGTGCGCAAAGTTTGAATGGGCTACATTTCCAATTAGAACACTTGAGGTATTAATCTTAATAGAAGGGATTAAGTGAAGGATATAGGTTGGATGAAGTGAAGGACAAAGTTTATCTGAATTTTAATGCCGGAAGAGGTTTATTGCATTGAGAGGCTTCTATTCCACACATAACTCTGAGACAAAGACAATAATAATTCAATAATATAATTCATAAATATGAAGAAAGCTGCCCTAAAGGTTAATTCTACTGGATCTTTTGGGTGAGCACGGTCTACGCGGGACCAGTAGGCGTTGAGCTTGTTGCTTCCACCCGACACATAACCAGGTAGAATCACTACAGAGAGTCGCCAATTTTATGCCCTGAATTGTCATTGAAAGAAAAATTTCCTTGTTTAATGACTTTATACTTTAAGAGTTCTGATAAAAAATATAAATAACCCAACCAACCCATAAAAATGTAAACAAACTATTCCAATAAGAATTGTTAAATTGCAAAGTGTAGTGAAGATTTTGTTTTGTATGTATGTACATACATATGTATGTATGAAGTTATAAAGTGTTAGAAGTAGTATATTTTTGTAAGGAAAGTTAAACATTCGTAAAAAGAAATCCCTACGAAAAACTCCCTACAATCTTTTACGCGCCTGTGTTGTGTATTTTTATACTAACTACTACGAATATCTACTACTCTTCCACACTCACTCACTATTAATGTACTATACATACAAACAAACATACATATGTATATATTTATACGAAATTCTTCCAACATATTTATACAAACAACTAAACATACGGAGAGTAGAGTACATAAATACATTTGTATGTACGAATGTTTGTTTGTATGATTGTTTTTTTAACGGGTGCGGGTGTGTTTGTGTTGATTACGACGAGGGGTACAAAAATTTGTGTATGCTTTTTCGGTAGTCGTCTTCCTTTTTTTCTATTTAAGTTGCGGCATCTGTTTTTTTTTTTTAATTTTTTTGCTTATTGGTATCTGTCGTCGTTTGGTAGGTCAGTCAGTAAGTTAGTGAAATGAATTTGAATTGGCTGATACATATAGACACACAAACAAACACACACATTAGTTCCATCATTTATACACACTTGTATGTTTGTCTGTATGTTTAAATTAACACTTTTTTGTCATAATGATCCATTAATTTCAACTATCCAGATTGTAGGGTGTTTGCCAGTTGTTAATGTTTAAAATATCTAATACGATATAAGGCGGTAGCAAGCAAAGCAGCCAGCAGCAGAAGATAAATCGACACTACCTTTTTTGTTTTTTTTTTTTTTATTTTTTATTTTAAATGTCGTTGATAACACTGATATTTTTTCTTTCCTTTACATACATACGAATATATCGAATAAAAGTATATAGATACATCCCATTTGAGTTATTTTTTTATTATTTATTTCTATAGGTACATACATATATATATATTTATACATATATGTACATATAGATATATGTATGCGCGCTGCATACATATATAACTAAATATATTTAATAATAATTTTATAAAAACAACAAATTTGTTTTTTAAATATTTTCACTTTGCAATTTTTCTCTAACCTCTTCATCACTTTTTTTCTTCTTTTTTCCATTTTTTTCATTTGACGTTTTATGTATATATAAACATTTTATCTTCTTCTGATGAGAGCAGAATATAAAAAAAATATAGAAAATATATGAAAAATTATTGAATGGTTATAGTGTTTTAAAAATATCGTCTCGTATTGTCTCATTAACAAATAATAATAAATAAATAAGAATCTGAATCTTTCTCAGCATACACATTGGGTCGTCGTAGGTATGGAAATGCACGTATAGAAAATATATAATTGAAAACATAAATCAAATCCACACTGAAAATTTTTTCTTTTCTTCTTTGCAACAAAATATTATCTATCTATCTACCTACCAGAGGAGTGTGTAGATATAAATTATTAATATTTTATTTCTTCTCTTTATTATTTATTTTCTTGTTGGCGTAGGGGAGTAGAAGAAACCAGCACTGGTATTATATTTTATATCTTTTACAATTATTTCACACAAATTTTGCCATTCCAGCTGCTCTGGCTGGTGGGTATTGTATTGGCATGTTAACGCAAGGTTTTAGAAAATTTTCTTTTTTAATTTTTAAAAGAATAAAAAGATTTTTATGAAATTTTACTCACTTTACTTTCCTAGTTTCTATGTATTCATATAAATCACTGCGAAAAGTAGTGCTGCGAAAGTATTCAGTACATAGGTACATGGTTAACGGTTAGTATTACGATACACTCGCCTGAAAGTAACCATTGGGGTGTAAGGTGCGAGTGAATAAATACAACTCTGCGGTGGAGAGTAGGGTTGGCAAAGCGAAGATGGCCAGATTGTTGAGGAAAAATTGACATTTGTATGTGACAGCTGTCAAATTGACAGGTCCAGTGAACAGTAACTCGCGTGGTAGAGAATTTCTTTCTTTTCCTTTTCCGATTTCAATATGACGGTGCGTGTTGTTTTTTATTATTGGAAACAAATTGAGAAAAACTATGAAATTTAATAAAATTTTCACTTGTAAATTTGTGTTTATCTATAATTGTAGGCCGCTACTAAAGAAGCTGGAAAGAAGATCAAAAGAGATCCCGCCAAGAACCCTATGCGCGATCTGCACATCAGAAAATTGTGCTTGAACATTTGTGTAGGTGAATCTGGTGATAGATTGACTCGTGCCGCTAAGGTAAAGAAACTAGTTTCAACATGATAATTGAAATTAAAAATGTTATTTTAAAAAAGGAAGAGCAAGTGTTAATGAATGTGTTGTATTGCTTCTAGGTGTTGGAACAATTGACTGGCCAACAACCCGTCTTCTCCAAGGCCCGCTACACTGTGCGTTCTTTCGGTATTCGTCGTAATGAAAAGATCGCCGTACACTGCACCGTCCGTGGTGCCAAGGCTGAAGAAATCTTGGAACGTGGTCTTAAAGTACGTGAATACGAGTTGAGACGCGACAACTTCTCTGCCACCGGCAACTTTGGTTTCGGTATCCAAGAACACATCGATTTGGGTATCAAATACGATCCCTCCATCGGTATCTATGGTTTAGATTTCTACGTTGTACTCGGCCGTCCAGGTAATTATTCGTTTTGTTTATTGAAATGTTAACAATCTGTGTGCACTTAATTAGGTGTTTTAATATTTAAATTGATCACCAATTCGTTGGTGTGAAATGTTTTCCATTTTTAAGACACTCAGTCAATGTGCACAAAGTAATAAAGAGACTCCTTTGGGGGTCTCTTTAAGAATTGCTTAATGTGTTTTGAGCTAATTTGCAGCTAAAACACACGGTGATTTTTGGACAATTTATTAACACCCCCTCCATCCTCGGGGGTGTAACCCATATTGAAGTGTTTAATATTTGTGTTTAGATGTGTTCTTAAGAAATAGTTTGTTATTTTTAAAAGAAAATTAAACTAATTTGTTGTTTGAAATGCTTAATTAGCAAATTGCCAACTTAAGTAATTTACAATGTAAAATAAATGTCTTCCAAATTTAATATCAAATTTAAATGAATGGTTGATGCATGTCCCTTGTGTGTGGAGAATTAATTCAAATTCATAAAATTTCTATTTCAAAGTTATTTCTGAAATATCTCAAAGTTATCTAGAGTGATTTAACGATTTTTTATATAAAATAAAAATTTGCTTATTTTGCCTGTCGTTAGCAACATCAATCAAAATCTTTAGATAATAATAGGAAATCACCGTTTTACATGCGTCTTTTCTCTACATAATGTTTTTTGCAATCAGATTTACAATTTATGTATTTTTAATTAAAAATTTGATTTGGTCCATTGCAAACAACAAATATTTGTAAACAAAAAACAAAAAATGAACACAACAAACATTACTCAAATACCTATATACCAACATTTAAATTTACATTTAAATATGTTATAAAATTAGTTGTTTCATAATTTTCCTTCTATTATTTTCAGGCTACAATGTTGCCCACAGAAAACGCAAATCTGGTACAGTTGGTTTCCCCCACCGTCTTACCAAGGAAGATGCCATGAAATGGTTCCAACAGAAATACGATGGTATCATTCTTAACAGCAAGAAATAAATGGCATTATTTATTTTTAAGTAACATTCACAATAAAACTAATATTACAAATAGACATCTTGTAATATAGTTGTATTAAAAATAAATACTTTTTCTAAAACAAACGTTTTGAGTTCCTTACAAATTTATTTCGCAATAAATTACGACAGTTAGGACCTCTTCGTCTAAAAGCGAACGGAAACTTCCTTTCTCATACGTATTTGTAAAGAATGGAAATTTCGTTTTCATTTACAGGAACAGGCAGTTAATATTATTAAAAATAAGAAATATTTTACAAAATCTTGTTATATGGTTGTTGATCATCTTGTCGCTTTACTTTAAATATATTTTAAAGATACATTTTTTATGTTTTCACTTAAACTAATGGTAGAACTAAACACTAGATATACATGATAAGTTTTTTTTTTAATTTTTTCTTTAAATCGATTGCCACTAGAAAGAGCTACCACGTAAAACGATGCGCACAAGCTAAACATTTAAATTAGCCAGCTTTGGAACGAATTGGGTAGTAACTCTTCTGCTGGTACTTATGAGGAAAAAATCCAACTTATTTGCCATATGGATATATGAGTGTATGCAGGCAACTTTGTCATTCATTCATTAAAAGTGGGAGGCCATTTTCTCACCAACATTTGCTTGCTGGTAGTGTTGAGGGATGGTTTAGATAAAACTCGGATTTTCGGGTAAACTGTTATTAGGTCTGGACCAACTGCCGCCTTTTGAGACATTCGACGCGCTACCATTCTAAATAGGAAAATGATAAAACAATATTAAATACATGTACAAATAAGCCTTGCGAAGCGGTAATCTGTATAATTAGTATGGCATTACTTGCGAAGCATCATTGCAAGGCGAACCGGTCGACGGTTGATTCACTGAGGGAGACCTGTTGCCATTGTTGCTCACTTTATTGTTGGGATTGTTACCATGCATGTTATTGCTGTTGCCCGCATTATTTGTGTGAGCCATCCATGAGAGAAAATTACCAGTCTGTAGAAACAAAAAAATATTATTTTAAGCATAAACTTTTCCAATTTTATTGTCCTTACCTGATCTTGAGGTTGATTTTGTAATTGATTACCTAAAATACTCCATTGATTGAGCGCTGCTGCCACTATGGCTGGATTCATGGGTAACGAATTTAGGTTCAGTCCCACACCCAATGAATTATTCAAATTTTGGGCTGCAGACGTTGGTTTAGGTCCCTGAGAATTAATTCCTAAAGTCTGCAGATTTGGCATATCTAAATTTCGATTATGATTGTTATTCCAGCTGCTATTGTTGTTACCGCCATGGGGTCCATGCGGCCCCACCATATGATTATTTACATAATTTCCTCGGTTGCCTCTTTGGTATGGTCCGGACATGTTGTCGGAACGATTCATAGGGGGACCACCGGGACCCGAGTTGTTGCCCATGAGCATATTGCCGTTCATGCCGCCCATGTTATTGCCTAATGGATTGCCAAATGAGTTGTTGCCACCACCGCTGTAACTATTCGTGTTCATGCCATAACCTCTCATGCCTAAAATGGCATTCTGATTCATGCCATTATTGTCTCCAACACCTCGATTATTAAACGAATTTCTAGGATGATCCACTATACTACCACCGCCACCTCCTCCGCCACGAGCATCACCATAATTCATGGAATCTTGATGAGGTCCCATCAGAGTATTCGAGCCGGGAGCATTGCGGCCACCAACTGTTTGGAAATTTTGCATAGAGTTGCGGATTTGTTCAGCCTTAGGAGCAGCATTTGACACATGCACAGAAACACCTATGAGAATTTAAAAATTATACATTTTCACAATTATATTTCTTGTTTAGTTGCTCTTACTCACCCTTTACAATATGATCCTCACCGCACAGTGACTGCGCCACATCGGGATCCAGAAATGTTACAAAACTAAATGCTCGAAACGGTTTGGGTATAAAAACATCAGTAACTTCACCGAATTTTGAAAAATACTCTCTCAAATCTTCTGCATTTATATCTTCAGTGCAACGTCCTACAAATACCTTACAAGGTACTTGATGAACCATACCCTGGAAATAACAAACAAAACATGACTTGTTATAAACACTTAATGGCACAAGTCAGTCTTAGTACTTACTTTAGAATTGGGCACTTTAACCTCACACCAGCGTCCATCGATTAAATGTCTTGTTGATAAAACTCTTCCTTGCACATCGTACGAACCGAAGCGCACAAAACCAAAACCCTTTGATTGTCCCGAATTGACATCTTTCTTTATTTGTGTCATTAATACTTCACCATACGTCTCAAAATACGTACGCAAACTTTCCTCTGTTGTCTTCCAAGGCAGTCCTAACACTATTAAATCTGTACAACGCGCTCTCGACTCTATGCGTTTTGTTTTGGCTGTCGAATTCTCTAAGTGATCATCACTTTTACGTTTATTTTCTAAAGAAAAAACACAACTCTAGACATATTACTCATCGCTTTTCCTTTATTTTAAAGTACTTACCCTTAGGAAACACACAATGGTATATGTGTGTACCCCAACCGGTTTCAGTGTATGGTGGAAAGAATTTACCCTCATTTGAGCGCACTCCACGAAAGCATTTAGTTTCTTCATTAATATATTTGAGACCACAAGCACCAGGAAACTGAGCCTGCAAAGTTGACAACAGCAGACTGCCGTCATCTTCTGTTGGCAATTCAATGGGATCATCTCCATCTTCTTCTACTACTTGTATAAATTCCATTATCACTTAATTTTTAAAATTGCAAGCGGCCACTTAATTTTACTGATAATTGGAATTTATACACAATAAAATTCTTAAGTATATCAAAATTGAGATTTTTTTCTGTTGTTAGAAAAAGTCATTTGTTTTTACTCTATGCGAGTAATCGTTACTCGATAGTGTTGTGTAATATTGTTTAGGGGGAAAAATTAAAGTACTATTTGTATCTACTGTTGTGGAAATTTTATCATATAATACAGCTGAATATTGTTGCTTTTATGAAATTTCGTATAATTTTTTTACTTTTTTGTATCAATTATCTTTTTGGGGATGTGGACAAGTTCTAGTACTGATGAAAGTTATATGAAAGCTTATGAATAATTAAATTTAAACTAAAAATTAGATTATTTAAAATCTTCAAAATTATTTATTATGTCAAGTTGCCAGATGTATTTTTATTGTCTATCTATAAAAATGTAAAAACGCCCTTTAAGGACAGAGATGGAAGTTTTAATATTGTTAGATTTTATTTGAGCTGTATTATAAATTATTTTATATTAATATTATTCTACGAAATATTTTAGAACGTATTTGATAAAGAAATAGTTAAAATTCAGTTCTATATAAATATTTAGTTTATCTTAAAATTTTAATTAGTTTTTTGAACTAAAATTTTTGTTGAAAACTGTAATTTTAAGTAAATAATCGAATTATCGCTAAAAATTAAAATTTTAAAACCAAATTTAAGTATTTTAATTGTATTTTTGGTTTTGTTTATAAGGCAACTCATAACGGACATAATTTGAATAGACATTTAGTGTTACCAAACGAAAATTAGTAAAAGCCGTTTCTACATTTCTGCGGCATTGCCAGCTTAAAAAGCAGTTGTCATAGCAACTCTATGGCAACGTTTGACGGTTACTTAAGAAACTTGTTATTTTAATAAAAAATTTCAAAAGTTCTTAACTAAACTTTAATAAAATATTTTAAAATAATTTAACAAAATGGAAGAAAATACTACACAAGAGAAAGAAGAAAATAATGAATGTGCAGTAGCAACCGAAAAGAATGTTTGGAAGGAACTAATTTCACAAACAAGAAATAGAAGCAGCAAATTTGACAGCAGGACCCAATTAGTTTTTGATGCGTTAAGAGAAAAACTTAAAAAAACGTAAGGATACAACTTAAAAGTCATTTAGAGAAAACCAAAGTTCTTATTCATATACTTTTATTTGAATTTTAAGAACTCAAACTAAAGATAAAACTGACATTGAAGTACAACTGGAAAATAGTGAATTGCATTTGGAGGAGCTAATACAATTTGGCAATGAACTGGTTAATAATATCAAAAGTGCCAATGAGCAACAGGAATTGTTGCAAAGTCAGGAAAAACATGCCAAAGATATGGGTAAAAAATAATATCAGAAAATTAGGTTTAGTCTAAAATTTTCTATATAAAATTTTCAGAACTGCAAGAAAACTTGCGCAAGGAAGCTGAAATATCTTTGGGACAATTTCAAGACATCAATAAGAAATGGCTGGAAATGAATAATTTAAAGGAACCTATGGCCATTTATGAAAATATGCAAAAACAAAGAGAAAATATTTCCAATTTAATGGCCAGCAAAGATGAACTCATAGAACAATGCCAGCAAGAACTCAAGCGCATTAATCAGAAATACTATTTTGATCAAGATAAGCAATCGCAAGACATTTGTTTTCTGGTGGAGAGAATAGATCAGCAAATTGAATTATTAAAAAGAACCTACCGAACAAGTATTTACGATTTACAGAATACCATTGACAAGGAAAAACAGAAGATTCTCTCTGTGGCCCAAGAAAAATGGAATACTGTTTATGAACACCTCACGGTAAATGAAGCACAGAAAATGGAATTGGTTAAGGACAAACAAAAGTTCTATGAAAAAGAATTAGAGAATATACGCAATAAGCAGGAAGAGATCACTAGAACTACTAGGATAAGGCTGGAGAAAGATGCTGAAATATTGGAACTGGAAATACGTAAAACACGCGCCAATATTTTAATGAATTCCGAAAAGATTGATTATAATTATCAGGTTTTGCAAAAGAGAAATGAGGAAAATATTATAATAAATAATCAGCAAAAGAGAAGAGTGGCTAAATTTAATGAATCTATAGTGGTGTTGAAAAGGAAATTATCAGAGCTTAAGGAAAATAATAGACTTGCTATGGAGAGATTAACGTTGGATATACAAAAACTACATGCCAGTATAAATGATCTACAAATAAAAGCCGAACATTTTCGTAAAAATAATAGAACCAAGGTGAGTGAAGTGGTGCGCCTTTTAAGCATTCCTTAAAATATTAAATTTATTTGATTCAGCTGGCCAAAGTTTGGAATATAAACTTTAAGGAAATCAAACATTTGGTGACACGTGTTTTTGAAATCGATCGCATATTGTATGAGCAACAATTGGCCCGCAAATGGTTTCCACCAGATATCGACCTAGACCAATACGACTATGTAAAGGAAACACAAAACTATCGGAAACCTAATAAAATGTTAATGAAACAAGCAGAAACAATTAAATCAAGTACATTGCAATCGTGTCATAAACAATTGCATGATATTTTACATAAAATATCTGATCGTGCTGGATTTTTGGTGGAAGAGAGACTTTTGGAAATCCTAAAACCCTATACTGACGATGAGAAATGTTTGGTTAGAATAGAAAGTATATTTTCGGTAAGTATTTGTTAAAAAGTTGTTTAATTAAAATTTTTTAGGATTGCTAAATAATAAAAATTTAGGCCCTTAATATAACAGATATAGCTGTAGTGGAAAGCTTAGTGAAATATTTTGAGCCCTACTCTTGGTGTCCCAATTGTTCTTCAGGTTTGCCAGTGGGTTCTTTCAAATCATTATACTCTTTTAAAAGACATTCTGAGGGTGAGATTGGGGAAGAGAAAAATTATCAAGATAAAGCAATAGAGGTAAGTTAAAAGTTATTCAGATATACGAATTTTCTAAGTTTACAAATTTTGTATTGTTTTTCGTAAAATCTTAAAATCTGTTTATATTTTTTAAGAATTCAACTAACAATTTATGCACGAATCATATGCTCTGCATGGAACCGACATTGGTTTTAACGGCCTTAAACGAATTCATCAGTAAACAAGTAAATATGGCGGGTAAATCGGTGGAAACAAGGTAAATATTAGTTTAAATATAGTATATAAACAGATTTTTTCACATTTTTTGGTATAATTTTACAGAAAATTAAATAAAAATCCGGAAGTGGATTTGCTACAATTTGACAAATCACAAATAACCAGTTATTGGCAGCAATTCTCCACCTATATGTCAAAAGATCAGCAAAACATTTGGAAAACCATAGAACATGGCCTCAATCATTACCTGGAGGTGTTAAAGAAGCGTCAACAAATCGACAGTGAATGTGTTTTCCTGCAAAAACAAAATGCGGAATTGAAACATTTATTGCAAAAGTTGTAAAAAGTATTTTATTAAACATTTTCTTTTCAATCATCCACCAAAAAATTTCACTGCATTTTTTTTCTTTAAAAATTTATGTAAATCATTAGCAGCTACATTTAAATATTAATGAAATACCAGTTTAATCAAATAAATAAAAATTCAAATATGTTGTGTTATTTTAATTTTATTTATTTTGATTTTATTTCATTTTATGCAAAGTGTAAAAGTGTGAGCGAGTGCATATTAAGGCGTTTTTATTAAGCTTGTTTGTCGACTTAGTTTTTTGTGTGTTTTTTTGACAAAGTGCTGGTAATTGATCACATTTTGATTCAATGATAACGCCAACCACATTAATTTATTTTGACATTTTCGGTTGTAATTTATACAAAGTATGTATCTCTGTTTTTTTAATAAAAAGCTATTCGAATCGTTTCAATTTAACTTGACTTGAAATGGCTATAAATATAATTTATTGATATTAATACACTCCGCATAAAAAACATAAAATCCCCATCATCACATTTACATTTATAGTTTTGACTTTAGTCGGGTTGGCTGCTTGGTGTTGTTGTGGTTCATTAAGAGGAAAACATATTTATAAATCAATTAAATTGATGTTGTTTCTTTTATTAAATATATAGGTTTATTCTAGACTAACTGATTTAAATCTTAATTTTTGTCTAAGCTTTAGAAATGTTAAATCTAATTAGAGTAGGTTTGTTTATGTTTACATTTATTTAGGTTAAGTTAACCGGAAACCAGTTTTCTTTTAATAAAAGAGCGAAAGAGAGTGAGAGCGGTTGTTAGATATTTACAGCATTGCCATATTTTAAAATGGCAACACTGTCAGACAAGACAGACACAAGACAGTTATATTTTTATTGAATTTAAATTAATTAAAAAAATAAGTGAAATTGTACAATTTATTAATAAAATTCAAAGTTTTTTCTTTTTCTTTTAGACATTATTAGTTAAATATTTAAGTTAATAAACTTAATAAATATTTTTAACAAATTTTTATTTGTTTTTATTGAATCGAAATTTTGTTTAACATATATTAAGTTAATTTACATTGTTGTTTAGGTAATTTAAACAAATATTTGCCTTATATAGCATAAGTTTTATGTAAATAAACCATATGTATTTTCTGTTTCTTAAAATGCCTAAATACCTACTCAAAAAAAAAGTTATTTTTTAACACTTTTATCTAATTTAAATATCAATATGTTATATATTGACAATAATCATCTTTATGCTCCATATTTGGCGCGCAACAACATTTTCATTAACATATTAATGGTTTATTGTTAAATATTTGATTTATGTACGAACATGTTTTGCCATGTTTGCACATTAAAATGAAAACCCTCAGCCAGCACGACTTTGATATATTTTTATATGCCATTTAATTATTTCCTAAAGCTCTATTTTAAAACGATCTTTAAGAAGAAGAAAAAAAAAAAACACAAAATAAATAAAAATACCTAGAGAAGAGGGGGAGAATTTGAAGTCCTATCATGTCTGGTCATCTCAGAAACATTTTTATAAGTAGAAAAAAAAACTTAACGAACTTATTTAATAAAGCATTTAGGTATAAATGGGTATCAATGGCATCATTGATACTGGTTCGATTGTTAATCAGGATTATTCGAAAATAATGTTGACAGTATACAAAAATAGCGTTGGCAGCATACGCAAGCTTTAAGTATTATTTCATTCGGCATTTAAAAGTCATGCTGTTGATACTAACAAACCACCTGGTAATCCACAAACATACGACACTCTACTATAATAAGCTGTTTTACTTTCGGACGGCTTGATTTCAGCAACTATGTTAAAAAAAAAACGGATTGGAATTTAACTCCTGCTGTTTTTCAGAGGTATTGGTAGTTTATATTTCGCACTTTAATGAAGTTATCATTTGACTTAACAATAGTATCTTAAAAATATTTACTCTAAAAGGTTATGCTGTCATTTCTTAAATTCCATAATAAGGGATACAAAATTCATATATTTATCTTAAATCAGTAAATAGAAAGAATAAATTCTTCATTTTAGAAGTGATTTTATTTATAATGACATTTCTGTTACAAAATTTCTAAAAACTTTGTTTAATTTCATTCAATTTTAAATTCCTAGTGAACAAAAAACTGAACTTGACACTACTTCGACTCTTATCCGTTTCACTTCTTCTTTCATTTCCTTTAATATGTAATAACATTTTACTCTAAAAAGTATTTCCTTTACATTAAACACTTGTTAGGGTAAACCTAATCTTTGACACTTCCATTAAATGTCATAACCATATTCTTGTCCCTTTCTATTTTTCTAATGTTTCATCACTTTCCTTTTTCTTCCTTTTAATCTATGTTTACGATATCAAATACACTAATCACAACAAAGCAATACATCTCTAAAATGTTCATCTTCTTAACTTAAGGGCGATAGGTCTCTTAATGTCATTAAACTTTATAACAATACATCAAATCAGTCTACTTTACTAAAAACACTTGTTTGTCAACTACTAAACTTTGACACAATTAAACTTCAATTCAAACAAACAATGTCACATTAGTGTCATTGTTTTTTGTATAACCCGCTCTTTTGTCCTCTTTTTCATACTTACCTTTCAGTTCGTCTTTTCTTTTCGCGTGTGCGTCAATAGTTTAGTAAAGTGTTTGTATAAAATTGTTAAATTTAACAAAAATAAATAAGTTAATTGCTTGCAACTAATAAGAAAAGTGTTAATAATAGTGTAATTAATGAAACAAAAGAAAAATCATTCAATATAATGAAATAAATCAAGTGGGAAAAAATTGGTGTCTGCCGGCTGGCCTGCCACCAAATTGGCAACTTTTTTCTATTCTTTTATAAATAATTGCCCCCACCTTATTATAAAAGTGTTAATAATAGTATAATTTAAGAAATTATATAAAAAAATAATAGTGCAATCAAGTAATTTACTAATATAAATCAAATGTAAAAAATTTATGACTGCCGGCCACCAAATTTGCAATTTTGTTTTTTGTTATAATTGCATACACACCACTCATGCATTTTCATGCATTCATTATTATTTGAGTATGAGAGAGTTAGTAAAGTCTTTGAATGAGAGTTATTTTTTATTACCAATTCCTTTCTCTTATTTGCTGCTTAATATAACCCATCAAATCAGTTTACCTTACAACAAACACTTGTTTGTCAACTACTAAACTTTGACACAATTAAACACCAACTAGAACAAAACAATGTCACATTGAATGTCATTATTTTTGCATATCTCGCTATTTTTTCTTTTTTCATATTCACCTTTCAGTTCGTCTTTTCTTTTCGCGTGTGCGTCAATAGTTTAGTAAAGTGTTTGTATAAAATTGTTAAATTTAACAAAAATAAATAAATAAATAATTGCTTGCAACTAATAAGAAAAGTGTTAATAATAGTGTAATTAATGAAACAAAAGAAAAATCATTCAATATAATAAAATAAATCAAGTGGGAAAAAATTGGTGTCTGCCGGCTGGCCTGCCACCAAATTGGCAACTTTTTTCTATTCTTTTATAAATAATTGCCCCCACCTTATCATAAAAGTATTAATAATAGTATAATTTAAGAAATTATATAAAAAAATAAAAGTGCAATCAAGTAATTTACTAATATAAATCAAATGTAAAAAATTTATGACTGCCGGCCACCAAATTTGCAATTTTGTTTTTTGTTATAATTGCATACACACCACTCATGCATTTTCATACATTCATTATTATTTGAGTATGAGAGAGTTAGTAAAGTCTTTGAATGAGAGTTATTTTCTATTCCCAATTCCTTTCTCTTATTTGCTGCTTAATATAACCCATCAAATCAGTTTACTTTACAACAAACACTTGTTTGTCAACTACTAAACTTTGACACAATTAAACACCAACTAGAACAAAACAATGTCACATTGAATGTCATTATTTTTGCATATCCCGCTATTTTTCCTTTTTTCATATTCACCTTTAAGTTCGTCTTTTCTATTCGCGTGTGCGTCAATAGTTTAGTAAAGTGTTTGTATAAAATTGTTAAATTTAACCAAAATAAATAAATAATTGCTTGCAATTAATAAGAAAAGTGTTAATAATAATGTAATTAATGAAATAAAAGAAAAATCGTTCAATATAATGAAATAAATCAAGTGGGAAAAAAATTGGTGTCTGCCGGCTGGGCTGCCACCAAATTGGCAAATTTTTTCTATTCTTTTATAAATAATTGCCCCCAGCTTATCATAAAAGTATGAATAATAGTATGAATAAATAAAATAAATAAAAAATAATAGTGCAATCAAATAATTTACTAATATAAATCAAATTTATGACTGCCGGCCACAAAATTTGCAATTTTTTTGTTTTCTATTTTCCCTGTTTGTTATAATTGCATACACACATGCACTCATGCATTCATTAATATTTGAGTGTGAGAGAGTTAGTAAAGCCTTTGAATGAGAGTTATTTTATATTACCAATTCCTTTCTATTACATCTGCTTCTTAATAAACCTTATTATGTATAACCCATCAATTCAGTCTACTTTACAACAAACACTTGTTTGCCAACAACTAAACTTTGACACAATTAAACACCAACTAGAACTAAACAATGTCACATTAGTGTCATTGTTTCTGCATAACCCGCTCTTTTTTCCTTTTTTCATATTCACCTTTCAGTTCGTCTTTTCTACACGCGTGTGCGTCAATAGTTTAGTAAAGTGTTTGTATAAAATTGTTAAATTTAACAAAAATAAATAAATAATTGCTTGCAACTAATAAGAAAAGTGTTAATAATAATGTAATTAATAAAATAAAAGAAAAATCATTCAATATAATGAAATAAATCAAGTGGGAAAAAAATTGGTGTCTGCCGGCTGGCCAGCCACCAAGTTGGCACATTTTTTCTATTCTTTTACAAATAATTGCCCCCACCTTATTATAAAAGTGTTAATAATAGTATAATTAAAGAAATTATATAAAAAATTGAAGTGCGAT